AGAAGCTTCCAGGACCCTTGTATATGCTACTTCCTATCTCTGAATACTCTTTCCACGTACTCTTGACATGCAGGGTATCTTCAGCCCATCTCCTAGGAGACCTCTGACCATCTTTCTTAAGTAGCTGTTCCTCTGTTATTCTTCTATCTGAACCCTGATATAAGGGTATAATTGATACTAATTATCATAATTGGTAATTATGTATTGGTCTCCTCCATGAAAGTATAAGCTTCATGAGCCATGTGACCATATGGCTCTCTGCATTCACATACCTCTCTGCACTCACAGCAACTGGTAGATGCACAATCAATATTGTTGAATGAACTCCTTATTTACATAGCATTTTTTTTTTAAATCACGTATTTCAAATACTCTGAGCCAAAGGAAAAAAAGAAAGGTTCCTGGATTTCAAAACTAGAACTACTCTTGATTATTTAAGTCTTACCTTTACCAGAAGCTAAATGTGACATTTTGCAAGTCTCTTAAAATTTCCAGACTTCAGATGTCACATTATTTGAAAGGCAGTGAAGCTAAATCAAACAATCTCTTAAGATTCTGCATAGCTCTAAGAGTTACAATTTTATAATATATAAGGTATTTTTAAATACTAAGTGATAGTGGTATACAACAGGTTAAGACAATACAAAATTAAATAATCATTTACTTTTTGTAAATCAAACCAAGCATTGAAACCAACAGTAACATAACTAGGTTTTTATGCTGCCAAGTCATAAATGACATACGCTTGGTTTTTTTTCCCATAACTTTTTTTTAAATACGGAAGTCAAGGACTACAAATCAGGAAACGATTGGTATTATATCCATTTGAATAAACAGACTTTAGAAGTAATGAGTGAAGGTATATAATAGACTAATGGTTTGTGTTGTATTAAAGTATATTTAGTGTATATTATACAATACAAAATTCGAGTGTATTAAATACACTGAATACACCAAAGTACACTAAATGTATTTAATTTAGCATATTCCATGTATTTAATACTTTAACATTTTCTGTAAAAATTTCAAGTGGTTGGTTTTATTCCTTTCATTCTATATTTTTTAAATAAAATTCTGCAATAGCTGCATTTCAACTAAGACCTGTATTACTCATATAAGTTTGAACTCTGTTCTTGTTAATGTGCGAATTTAAAATCACATAAAAGCCATTCTTGAAGTGTATTTTTCATTTCATATTTTTCAATTATAAGAACCAAAGCTATCAAACGATTTATTATGTAATTTATTTTTTCACTGTCTTTATATGTTTTAGAGACATCTAATTCAAATAATAAAAATTTGATTTTATTCTCATATTTTGATATGACAAATACTGGTATTTCTATTAAGTAAACATTCAATATAATTCCATTAATTTTTAAATTATTTAAGAATCCAAATATCTAACATGGACTATTTTTGGTATGTGGGAAGAAATGCTGTTTTACTTTTCTTACTTTCAAATAACACAGTATATGAAACTAACAAAGTGTTGAGAAGTAAAGATAATGTAAGTTTATTATTAAAACTAGATAAAAATTGCTTTTAATTATATATGCATATTTAAACATATACATGCAGATATATATACACACACACGTACACAATAAAAGGAAATGCTTAAGAAATATTAAATTAAAATGCAAACATTTGCCCTAGAATCCCTTTCACCTATTCAGAAAAATATGTTAACATATAATTCAAAGGCAAACTTCAACCCTACCAATGTCCGCATTAATAAAATTTACCAGTAACTCTTTACTTATATAAATATACTTAACATTTTTAAGATTATGCCTTGATTCTAACAATAAAAACTCAGTGGTAAATAAGGTTAATAAGATTTGGATTAAACAGTTCTCATCCCCTGAAAAGCTTGGCATACTTACCCCTGCTAACTTATTCTCTAAAGAATGCTGTTAAAATCGTAAGATCAAGCAAACAATATAATCGAAAAAGACAGATGCTAAGGAATCAGCAACTCATATGTTTTCTACCATTTACTAAGTATGTGATTGTAAGTAAGTTATCTAAACTCTGAAAGACCTGAAACGTCAAACACAGGCTACTATACAAAAGGCACAGAAAGATAATATTCTATGAGTTACATATATATATGTGTAAACTCATATGTATATAACATATATATAAATACATATATAACATATATATGTTAACTCATTGAATGTATATATGCTGGATATAAAATATCCAGCATAATATGTGGCACAAAGTAAAAACTCAAGAAATATTATTTTCCATGTATCCACTACCCTTCAAGGCTCCTCTCTTACATCCATTCTCATGTCCTGATAAACATAAACAGGTAGAGGAACATAGATTACACACCCATTATGTAGATAAACACAGAGACAAAGATTTGAATCAAGACAACATGCCAAAAATTCAAAGAATCTCACAACTTCCATATTAGGGAGTCCTTAAAGATCATCTCCAACAACTTATAGTCAGACATTCTGGTGAGAGGGTTAGCATTTTTATTTTCTTTCTTTATATCCACTACATTTTAAAACAGGAGTCATTTATAATGTGTGCTTTTGCAAAATTATAAAAAGTAGAGCCTCTTGGTCACCTACAAACATGAAGAGATTCATACACAAAACAGAAAAGCAAAAGATAATTCTTTTGTTTAATTTTACATGTGTAATGGGTGATGTTTTATTTTATCATTCAAATAAAATCTTCTGTTAATGAAACACTAAAAATTTGCAGATTTAGTAAAGGAATGATTAGAGTAACTCAAGTTCTCCTGTTCTCTCACCTTTAAAAGGCTTATCGATTCCCATTTGATTTTGCAATGGACTGAATGTTTCTTGCTGCCAAAATTCAGATATTGAAAACCCCTAATACAATGGTATTAGGAGGTTGGAAGGTAATTAAGTCATGAAGGTAGAGCCCTTATCAATGGGATCAGTGCCTTTATAAAAGAGATCCCAGTGAGCTCTTACCCTCTTCTGCCATGTGAGGTTACAATGAGAAGATAGCAGTATGCACTTTGGAAGACCATCCTCACAAGAACCCAATCATGCTGGCACCCTGATTTCAGATTTACAGCCTCCAGAACTGTGAGAAATAAATTCTGCTCTTTGTTAAGTCACCTAGTCTATGGTACATTGTTATAGCAGACCAAACTGACCAAGACAAAAATTTAACACCAATTGTAATAACAACTATAGTATAAATGAGAAAAGTAGCACTCTTAAAATTTGATGTGGTATAATAGAATAGATGATATCGCCATTCACTGAAATAAAGAATACTAAGAGTGAACTAGGTTAGGTTGTATTTGGTTGGGTTGTACGGAGATTTTTTAATTCAGCCTTAGACATGGGGAATTTAGGATACTTCTAAGACATTCAAAGAGGCATGGCAAGTAGGCAATTGGTTACATGGCCACAGAGTTCAGAAAATAAATCTGAGAGAGAGTAATAAATAGATCATCTTCAGGAAATCACTTAGGGAAAGAGTTCAGGGAGAAGAGTGAGACAGCCTAGGGCCATGCCTTCCATGAATCTAAAATGGATTGACTGAGTGGAAGAGAATGAGTTTGCAAAGGAGTGAGTTCAAAGGCCAAGGGGGGAAAAAACCACACACACACATGAAGTCAGTAAATTCAGATACTATTAAGAGGTCAAGTAAGATATTTTCTAAATTTAGCTAGTGATGCAGACATCATTGTGATCTTAGAGATATCCATTTCTATAGCGATAGGGCAAAAAGCCAGACTTTAAAAACTAAGTGGGAATTGAGGAAATGAGTGAGCATAATCACTCTTGGAACAAGTCTGAACAGAAAGAAAGATAATACTTGGAAAAAAATACGGAGATTTTAAAAGAATTATCTGGGGCGGTTAGGGAGGTGGAGATTGTTTTTATGAGTCAAGACTAAAGTATATGTAAAAAGTGAACACAAGGACCCAGTTGAGAAGGAATGGTGAACGTAATATATAAATTATATAAAATCTGAGAAAGTACAGATGATAAAATAAAAAATAAACACCATAAGAAATAGACTTAGGACAAAGAACAGTTCCTCTATTGAAGTAAGGAAGGAGAACAAGTACAAATTTGGGTGGGTCTGGAACTCTAATCTCAGAAAAGAAGAAAAATATCACCCAATGTTTCTAATTTTTTTTCTGGGATGTGGATGTCCATCTGCTGACTATGATAAGGGAGATATGTAATCAGAGATATGAAATAAGTGGATAATATATGAAAAGTTGTGCAGAAAGTAAGCGCAGGTATAAACCAGAGAAAACCTATGTATCACAAATTCCTTGAGACTCTTTATAAAGAATACGTGGGAGTATAATAGCAAGAAATCTATAAAGTCTAGTCAGGATTAGAAAAACCACACCAGCAACCACTGTTGTAGATGCAATTAATAAAGGCAGATTAGAAACCTGAATTTTAGATTAAAATTTAAATTTTTAAGCAGTAGAAAGCATAATGAACTCAGTAAAAGAAGAGTATACCAACACAAGTCTGTGGACCTAGGAAGATATTTACAAATCCAGAAATAAGCAAGACAAAAGAGCACAGCTAATCCCTGAGTGGTTTTTATCTGTTTTCTAATCAGTCTGTTTGCTCCCTTCTAACACTGTAGAGCCAATTTATAGGTAATATTGGTCTGCCACTTTCTTAACAGGGAAATTCACAATGGGTCTGGTGAAAATGGATGTGGAGAAGTAAAGACAGCTTTTAACAATGAAAGATAGCTCAAACTGTTAAAACGTTGAGACATACGACCAGGATGCTATATTTACAAAAACACATAATTATTTTTCCCAAGGACTCTACATTTTTTAAAACCACAGAATTATTTTTCTAGAATCCTAGAAATTAATTATACAAAGCTTTATATTTAAAATGAAAGTTTCTGTTTCTAGAAATGTTAAGCCCACACTGCCATGTGGCTAAAATATTTTTGTAAAATTACAATTAAACATTCTTCCTTCAAATTGTGTCTCTTTTACTCACTCAGACTTCTTCTCACAAGTCTCAGAAGATTCTTCAATTCTTTTCTCTAACTCCAAAACAGCCTCCTCCTTGTTTAAAAGCATCTGCTGTGTCTGCATAAGTTCTTCTGCTATTGTTTTCAACCTAGAATAAACAGTATCCTCAATATCAATCAACACATTAATTACATTAACTTCATACATATCAAAAAAGTATTAATACATCTTATGTTGCAATGTCTAAAACTGTAGCCACATAAAATTTGATTTAAACTAAAGTAAAATTTCAGTTCCTTGGTTGCATTAGCCACATTTCAAGTGCTAAACAGAAATGCAGCTATTGGCTACCTTATTGGTGGTAGAAAAAGAGTATTTCAATAATCACAGTAAGTACTCAAGCAATACTGGTCTACAGTCTTCTTTCACCAAAAAGAAAACGAGAAGTAGGTAAAGAAAAGAGAACTTTGGTAGACACTGAGTAAATGGTAAGCAGTATTATTTGCAGATGTTATCTCATTTACTCTTCACAACAATCTTATAAGATACATACTATTTAAAGAAATGAAAGTGAGACTCAGTTATTTGAAATTTTAAATTCATAGTAAGCTCTTTCTATTTTCACATATTGTAATAATGCTTTAGCAGTATTTTCTATATAGATTTGAAGACAATTTATTACATAAATTAATACATACCAGATAATTTGTTTAAATAAAAATAAACCAGATAATTTATGTTTGGATAAAATGCATTGAGTCTGTAATGGAAATATTTCTACCACAAAAACATACATGGCTATCATATCACTTTAAAATTGTTATCTTCAGCCTTTCAAAGCAAGACATAAAACCCAAAAGATAAAAAGAAAATATTAAATAATCTAACTCTATAAAAATGTAAATTTATTTGAACTTAGAGATCATAAAGTCAAAAATAAAATTCATACCAAAAAAATATATGCAGTGCAAATTGCCAGGAAAATCCCCTTTCATGCAGAAAAACTCTTAGAAAAAAGACAAACTAACAGGAAAATGAACAACAAAACAAAGGAAGTTCACCAAGACAAAATTAAATAATAAGCATATGACATTATTACAACTTGACTGGATATATAATAAGTTATTTTTCACCTACTAAAATTGACAGGCATGAAAAATACTTGTAATATCCAGTATTAGCAATATTATTTTTTTAAAATGGAAACAATTATACACCACTGATGTGAAAAAATGAACACAAATTTTTTAGGGATCATCTTGGAACTGTCTCTCAAATTTCAAATCAGAAAATTTTTTGACCATCTAAAAATGTGTCTTTCAAAACACTTGTACAATATGAACCAAGTCTGTTCATACAAAAATATTTGCTGCAATATTTATTATAAAACAAAAAAATACAAAAGATTTAAATACCCTAGTATAGCATACAGCCACTAAGAAAGAATTAGGCACACATATATAAGGTTTTTCTAAGACATACTTTTAAATTAAAAGGCAAGATATAGCAAAATGCATATAGCACTGTTCTAATTATATTAAAGCACAGATACATGCATATGTTCTATGAACTGAATGAGGACCCCAGAATTCATCTGCTGGGGCCCTAATCCCCAATATAATGGTATTTGGAGACTGAACCTCTGTTAGGTAAATAGGATTTGATGAAGTCATGAGGGTGGGGTCCTCAGCATGGGATTAGGGCCCTTATAAGAAGAAACAGCACCGAACTCACTATCTCTTCTCTCTCTTATTCCTCATGTACACAAAGAAGACGTCATCTGAGCATACAGCAAGAACTACCTATCTACAAGTCAGAAAAACAGCCCTCGCCAGTAACCAACTCAGGTGGCATCTTGATCCTGGACTTCCCAGCATCCATATCTATGAGAAATAAATTTCTGTTATTTCAGCCATCCAGCCTATGGTAATTTGTATGACAGTCTGATATGGTTTGGCTGTGTCCCCACCCGAATTTCATCTTGAATTGTAACTCCCACAATTCCCATGTGTTGTGAGAGGGACCCAGTGGGAGGTAATTGAATCATGGGGCAGGTCTTTTTCCTGCTCTTCTCACAACAGTGAGTAAGTCTTAAGAGATCTGATGGTTTTAAAATGAAAGTTCTCCTGTACAACTCTCTCTCTTTGCCTGCTGCCATCCATGTAAACATGACTTGCTCCTCCTTGCCTTCCACCATGATTGTGAGGCCTCCCCAGCTATGTGGAACTGTAAGTCCATTAAATTTCTTTTTCTTCCAGGTTCAGAAGTCTTTATTAGCAGCATGAAAATGGATTAATCTACAATCCAAGCAGAATAACATGTATATGTTCATGTGGTATGTATTTATACGTGAGTGCACAGGATAAGAAACAGATGACTACAAACCAAAGCTTTATCAATACTCTGAGAGGTGTGGAATTGGAGCAGGGGGTGATTTAAGGCCAAAGAAGTTTTCATAGTTTACTCTCTATAGATCAATATTGTTTGAATCTCTTATAACAAGAATAGATTTTTTTGAATCATTAAATAATAGGAAATAGAGATAAGAGAGGCAGAAAAACTATCACACATAATCAGAAAACTCTAAATACAGCAATCAAGATTAGTTCATTTTTCACAATGGTTGAACTAATTTATACTCCCACCAACAATCTAAAGTGTTCCTATTTCTCCACATCCTCTCCAGCATCTGTTTTTGTCTCCAGATTTTTTAATGATCACCATTCTAACTGGCTTGAGATGGTATCTCAATGGGGTTTTGATTTTCATTTCTCTAATGACCAGTGGTGATGAGCATTTTTTTCATATTTTTGTTGGCCTCATATGTGTCTTCTTTTGAAAAGTGTCTGTTCATATCATTCGCCCACTTTTTATTGGGTTTGTTTTTTTCCTTGTAAATCAACTTTAGTTCTTTGTAGATTCTGGATATTATCCCTTTGTCAGATGGGTAGACTGTGAAAATTTTTTCCCATTCTGTTTAGACTGAAACAACATAATAAATTTCAGTAAGCCTCTGAGGGCATTCAATATTAAAGCAAAATAAAAGCAATAATACTTATAATAATGATCGAGAGTCATCAGGGAAAGGTCGGATTTAATATTTTTCTTTAATCATATGTATATATATTCATAAAATATTTGTATCAAACCTAGTAAAATTATGTTTTTGAATGCCATGGAGATAGAGGTTTCAGTTATTGACAGAATTCACTTACATGGAATAGTTCATACTCTGACTATCAGATAAAGAAAACATTACTGTATTAAGATTCAAGATCATTCTCAATAAAGCTACATTTCAACCACTGGCTTCAACTTCCTTATTAATTAATTAAAAATAAGAAAGTAAATAACACATAATGGTTTCCTGTTTATTAAACTCTGCCTTACATATAATCTCATTTAATCCAAATGAAAGTTTAGAACACAGAGCTCTGCCTCAGAATGTGTCCCAACCACTTTTGAAACCCAAGTCTGGTGGGAACAGAAAAAACAACCAGCTTCTTATCACTGCCTTGAGCATGCTACATCAAAGCTGAATTTAATAAAAAGTCTTTCTTCTCCTTATCACTTTCTTCTGTTTTATCCTTTTAAAATGTGTTTTATCCTACAAATTTTATCCTTTTATCCTTTAAAAATGTTTTTTATCCTTCTAAAATGTGTTTTATCCTACACATTTCCCTCATTCTCTTCTTCTCTTCCTGGTTAGTTTTCCATTCATCTCTCTTCTCACACCTTCAGTCATTCACTTAAGTGTTTATTTAGCACATTCCTTCTGTCAGACACTCTGTTAGACAGTAGGGATATAATAATAAGCAAGTTTGCCCTCAGGGAGCTTACATTTTACTAGACAGATATCAAAGAAGAAAAGACAAATGATTTAGAAAAATAAAAGTATACGGGGAAACCGAGAGCAGTGGTTCAAACTTGCAACCCCAATGCTTTGGGAGGTTGAGTCAGGTGGATCACTTGAGGTCAGGGGCTCAAGACCAGCTTGGCCAACATGGTGAAACTTCATCCCTACTAAAAATACAAACATTAGTCAAGCATGGTGGCAGGCAACTGTAATCCCAGCTACTGAAGAGGCTGAGGCAGGAGAATCGCTTTAACCCGAGAAGTGCAAGTTGCGGTGAGCTGCGATTGTTCCACGGCACTCTAGCCTGGGCAACAGAGCAAGACTTTGTCTCATATATACACATTTGTCTCAAAAAGAGAGAGAGAGAGAGAAAAAAAAAATTATATATATGGGGAAAGTATTTCCCCTTTCTTACCATTATCCCCTTTAAAAAACCAAAATGAAAAACCTGTACTGTGTGAATTAAGTAAAGAGAAAAACATCAGAGTAATTATAGTTCATGTACAGATAACATAATACATGTAAGAATAGTTCAAAAATTTCAGAGTACAATGTTTACTATCATGTTATTACATGTTTCCTATACAAAAGTAATAGTAACAGTTTAAATGAGAACACATAGATACAGGGAGGAAAACAACACACTGGGGTCTTGAGGGGGAGGGCAATGGGGTGAGGAAGAGCATCAGGATACATAAGTAATGCATGGAAGACTTAACATCTGGGTGATGGGTCGATAAGTGCAGCAAACCACCATGGCACACATTTACTTATATAACAAACTTGCACGTACTGCACATGTATCCGGAGCTAAACTAAAATAAAATATAGTAGCAGTTCAAATAGGTTATTATTTACATTTTTTAATTAATTATTGTAATATTATAATACAAAGAAGTTAAAAGTCATAGCATGGTACTGGTACCAAAACAGAGATATAGATCAATGGAACAGAACAGAGACAACGCCACACATCTAGAACCATCTGATCTTTGACAAACCTGACAAAAACAAGCAATGGGAAAAGGATTCCCTATTTAATAAATGGTGTTGGGAAAACTGGTTAGCCATATGCAGAAAGCTGAAACTGGATCCCTTCCTTACACCTTATACATAAATTAACTCAAGATGGATTAAAGATTTAAATGTAAGACCCAAAAACATAAAAACCCTAAAAGAAAACTGAGGCAAAACCATTCAGGACATAGGCATAGGCAAGGACTTCGTGACTGAAACACCAAAAGCAACGGCAACAAAAGCCAAAATTGAAAAATGGGATCTAATTAAACTTA